TAAGACAACATCGTTCACATATTCAAGGTCAAATAGCTATTCTCCGAGTAATATATCCATACCACTCTCACGCATGTTCTTCAGAGCTGTCTCAAGAATTTTGTCGATGGCAAAGTTAAAGAGGAATGGAGAAATCAGGAAACCGTGCTTAACGCACTGTTGGCTTGGAACAGTGGAGACAAGTGGTTGTCTGCCTTTACTCTATCTGAGGTGTTATTATATTGGAGATTTCAAGATGTTAATAAGTTTCTGAGGCGCGTTTCCCTCTAACAGATAATTCCAGAGTACAGCTCTGTCCAACAAATCGAAGGCAGCCCGAATGACATGAAACACAACGATTATTGGCCTGGAGTACGTGTGGCGATGTTCAAGTATCTGGGGAAGGGTCAACACAAGATCAATGCATCCACAACCCGAACATAACCCGGGCTGCTCCTCACGAACCACTTTATTATGAGTTTTGTAGTCTGTGGAGTATTATACCAGCCAATATTTTCGATGTGATTGGTAACAGACTAATACCCCGACGATTGTCATGTACATTACATAGACCCTTTTTAAAGGTATGCACAACGATGGCTTCATTCCAGAGTGATGGAACACTCAGTCTGCCACACTTCAAACAATCTAGTCAGTCTCCTAACTGGAGTCGTCCCACTATCCTTAAGAGTCGGGGTAAGTTGTCTGGACCAGGTGCCTTGTGGCGTTTCAGAACTTGGAGTTCCTTATGAACCTCCGCTTCGTTAGGTGGGTCAGTGTTAACTGACCATGGAGCGCGATACATCGAAGCTGAAAATGCCGGAGCCGTCACCCAGCTTAAATGCTTTTCGAAGTGCTCCACACAGAGTCCCAGGTGTCTTCAAAAATTTTGATAGTATTGTGTTCTCTGAGTTGGATGATTTAGTCGTGGAGCTTTTGTTGTCATTCTAGATATCATCAGCACAAACTTCAGAAAGAAGCTTCTTTCTGATGCAGCATACATCAATATTGAGACTTCAAAGAGTCTTAGCCAAACCTGCCTGTAGTCCGATCTGCATTAAGGTGCGAACGTTGAAGATGGTGAGCTTAAACGGAATACGTGATTTTAGGATAGCTGTGTCAGATGTCGCAATAGCGAATAGCCTTATGCAGGTAACTGTTTTGCGACTCAAAACGGTACAGACAGATCAGAAGTCTAAGCAATGGAGAGCAGCTGAGTGAAAATAAAGACACAAGCAAAATCTATAATAATTAAAAATTCAGTTCACATGTAAAAACAAAAAAAAATATAATATCAGTAAATTGAGCGATTAGTTATATAGTTCTTACTGAGAAGAGCTTGAGTATTGGCAGGAAAGTTGGTTAATTGCTACAAAATCTTGGTTTTTTAATATAAATTCATATTTTGTGTGAGGGTTGGGATACTGCACGGGGGCCCAGACCAAAGCAGTTGGTTGTTTTAGGGGACCATTCCCCAAGTCTTTGACTCAACTTAATCCACAAATTAGTGCAGCAACATTAGGAGTTGCATTCCCATGGTTTCCGGCGACTAAAATAGGTTCATACGCCATTCGTTCCATCTGGAACCTGGAGCCCATGTGCACCACCGGTTTGGGACCAAGGTTTTCCAACTCTCCTAGGTGGACCCTCAGTATCCGCCAATCCAGTGATAAGCGCCGGACATTCGGTTTTACGCATTCATTTCCGTAGAAACACCCCACAACGAGAAGGCAGTAAATAAGACTTCTCTAGAAGAGGTTGTGAACGCATACCAGGGAACAAACAAGAAGCACAAAAACAGGTTCGTATGTTAAAGGGTGGTATAAATGAAGAAGCCGACAGTCTGTACATTTCATCCATGCTCAAAGTGAAGAAGTCAAACGGGAAATATAAATTTTGTGTGGATATTACAGAACTAAACAGAATTTGAAACCATGTTAAGTACCAACGGTAGTCGATATACTACACCACTTGCAGAAAGTCACACTGCTGGACTTACGATCAGAGTTGCTGATAATCACCGATAAAACGTGATGGATAGATAACAGTTTTCATCGTGCAGCAGAAACCATACCCATTTAAGTGAATGTCGTTTGACCTTGCACGAGCATCACTTATTTTCAGACGACTGATGACGTGGTTGCGTAAGAACCTGAAGAACGTACGGTAATGACCTCATGGTGTATGGTCTATCCAAGGAAGAACATCTGGAAAATGTAGAAGCCGTTTTAAAACTCATTGGGAGGAGGGGGCGGACTATGCATTATCAAGGCGAGGTCACAGATGGCTTAGACGAATGCTACTTTTATTTAGAAAAGATTGTGACCATCAAGAACACTGCGATTTCGAACTCGAAAAGGAAATTGAGACGGTTCTTAGGAAGGACAACCTTCTGCAGTTGGTTCATCAAAAACTGTAGTGAGATAGCGGCTCCACTGTATCGACTGTTAGGAAACAGGGAATTTATATGAACCAAGGACATATGGAAGATATTCGATCGAACTAAGGAGCTCTTAGATGACCAGCCGATGACCTGCAGATTGTGAGTACCCGAGAAATCATTTGCCGTTTCCACAGATGCTAGATTATGAAATATATGCCATTATACGACAAACCAAGGGAATAGCGAAGTATGTTAACCGTGTATTGACGCCTGCGGAGCACAAGTACTCAACAGTGGAGAATTTTTAGGGATCGTCTGGCTATTAGAAAAGTGGAGACCATATCTTCTCGGAAAACGGATTCACATTGAGATGGATCACAAGCCTTTATAATGGTTGAGGACAGCGCGCGATACCCGCTTGCGAAACTAGCACGATACTTCTTATGAGCTTACGACTGATAAAAACCCCGGGAAGAAGAATGTACAAGCGGAAAACTTATTGAGATCAGAGGAAACAACTAAATCGCCAGCGGAACAAGGGCAAATTAGAATGGTGTGTTATCAGAATTCGGACCCAACCAGCTAACCAGTAATCCAATCGATAACGAAAGGAATGGATTCCGAAGAAACCGCAGAAAATAAGGAGTTAAAAACTATCCTCACTTAGAAAAGACAGACTAGAAGTGAATTTGTACGGCGCTCTGACTAGGCAAAAGACGATGGAGGCTATATAAGTATAATTGCAAAATGCCTACGACAGAAGTTAATCTGCAACTGCCACTAGCTGGCAAATACATGAGTAGTTACGAGGACGACTGATCACTTGCAGGAAAGTGCGTATTGACCGGAAATGCGAGGAGACTTAGAGGAGTACTAATCACGCACTCACATTGTGAACTGATAAAAAGTGATCGATTCATACGGAAGTCATTGTAGTCAATTCCGGTTACAGAATTTGGTAAAATATGGTCAGTAGACGTGATGGAACCGTTGCTCAGGCATCCAGTAGTAAACAGTACTTGTTTGGGATGACAGAACACGCTATACGTTTGGAGGACGCGGTTGCAACTCCAGAATAAGGTGCAAGGACAGTAACAGATGTTATTCGACAGATTATTGGAAACCATGACGTACCAGAGATGATACTGACGGACCAGAGCATATGTTTTGACAGTGAAGGTTTCACACCTACCTTACAACAGCTGGGTATCGACGGAATAGGAACGACTCATTACCACCCTCAAACCGACGGGGCTGACAGTAGGAAATAACCGTACCCTGGAAGAATGGCTGGCTGTGAAACAAGGTACTGGGGAGGCAGAACTGCCGTTGACCTCATTAGGAGGTCGGGTATCCGTGCAGGAGACAATGGAGAAGTTATCGTTTCAGTTAATTTATTGTAGGAGGCCTAGACCGCACCTAGCACGATGAGGTCTTACACGATAGAGAAAGGAACGAAAGAAGCTATTGAGAATGTCAAGGGAAAAAAGAGGATACGGTGAAAATCGAAAAGAAACAAGGAACGAAATGTGGACCATCCGAGGTAGAAGATTATGTGAAGTGGAGGGCTGACCTGGATCACGGAAACTTGTGAAACGGGAACGGTCGCATATAGTGAAGAACAGACGTAGCTTATTATAACTATCGGCAAAGACGATAGAGAAAAACGTGTAAACTCGTCAGCTTCAAGAGTGGATGCCAGTAAGAAAAGAAAACGAATTCGGAAACCAGACAGAAGACATCCTTAAGACAATCATTAAGCCTATGGAAAGAACTTTCCAAAAGGGTTTAGTTCAATGAGAGCTGTTTATAATAATGGATATAAGTAGCATATGTAGCAGCTTCAAAAGTGATAATGATCGACTGCTGTGCAATTAAGCAAAAAGAATATACAACTTTGGATTCAAATATAAAGCGGGAAAGCCATGTGGAATGACATGCAGAACAAGAGAGTATTTGTTAGGGGATAATTTTAAACAGCGTAATGAGAAGATTATCTGAAACATGTGATATAATGACGCTATATATTTCAAACAATCTGATCACCCATGAACCTGTCGAAATACTTATAAGAAAATTTACGAAAATAGCTTCTAAAGTACTACATAAAAGTGGTCAGGGTCGAGTGCTTAAATTTACTGAAGCTTTTGCCATCCGTAAATTGAAACCCCCTTCATATTTACAGAAACAATTCGTACTCACATTGAACCTGCCTTGGTAGTACTGATTTTAATTGTCATAGCAACAGTGATGTAACTTATATTTTGGTTTTTCTTTACCCTTCCTATTCTCATATTTCCCGTTGACTTAATTGACTTTTCCGTAGATTTTCATATAAATAGTTCCACAAGTCAATGTTTGATCGGATTGTTCGAAATTTATAGCGCTAATACATCACAAGTTTCAGATAATCTTCGTCCTCTCAGTACGTAGGATATCTTGTTGTTAGGTTTAATGTTTTTATCAATATCAGTTGTATTTTCTCAACAAAACAGACACCAGTTGCTTCATTGGATTTTTCTTTACATGTACCACTACGAACCAGTGTCATAGTAAATAATATGTATGTGATAAAAAACATGACAGTGAAGTGACTCTGGTTCACCAATGGCAGTATGAGTTATCAAGTTGAACTTACTTTACTGCTTTAATTTGATCCCAATCAGCAAGTCCGGTTTTCTGACCTTTCATATCTCTGGTGCGTCCATGTACTGTAAGCATAGAAGCTCCTGCTGCTTCGAGAAATTTAGCATACTGGACTGTCCGCTCAATATCTTCAAAGATTCGAATTTTACAGGTGACTGGGATATCCAGTTCAAGCGAAGCTTTTCCAACTAATCAGAGTTTTTAAAATTGCATTGAGATAAAGGAATTTTTATCGGTAGGACAACTGAAATATCAATACAAAACTCATACAAGGATAGCTAGCACATAGGAATTTCGTCACGGAATCCAGTTTTTATTTTATACTTTTTATAACTACAGCAGAGTTAAAGCAGACGGTTACCAGTCAGTTTGTTCAGAATAATAAGCGACTCAAAGACATCGCAAGAGTTGAAAGTTGTAAAAGTACCACTGTATTTGGAGAACAGTGTGGTATCAAGATTGTCTGGCTGATTTTACACACTATCTATCAAGGTTACTAACTAAATCATCATTTACAACTATAAGAAAATAAACTATGGTTATGCGGGAGTGTCAGTTGTAAACAGTTTATCTGTGCCAGGTAAGTAATGTACCGAAAATTCCCAAATTTTCGTCAGTGCTTAAAAGGGTAAGACTCTTTTTTTAGTAAGGTTACACTGTGTACTATCAATCTATCAGGGAATTTGAAACTAACCAAGTCCGTGAAGAATTCAAGCACAATGGTTTGTTGATGACAAAGTTTAGTAATGATAGTAATGACAATAATAATAATAGTACTAATAATAATAGTGGACACTTCTCAACCTCCACTCGGCGTAATTACACCAAAAGATGGCACAAGGAGCTCGGATGAGGCGCCTTTTGACAATACACCACTACTACCTGTTCGACGAAATCTAGTATTCACTACAGAACACGAAATATGACTAAGTCGACGAAGGTTAGGGATTTAGTCGATATGCTCGGAACCATGACTAAAATCCATCGAATTTTCCTAGGATTACTGTTTCTAGTGTCAGGTAACTATGCATTTTGGGATCAGCTACTGTCTGGTGAATTGAAACAACTCATAATCGAGATCAGCATAAGATAACGATACCTGAACCCCATACTTGAAAAGTGCCACGCTTCGTTCATCATGTAATTCCTGACCATCATCTTAAAACATCTCTCGAAGCAACCATTAAGGATTTGCTAACATGTCTTGATTCAATCCTGTTACAGCTTTTCTCTGTAGGGATACAGGTTAGCGGTTTAAGTGCTTGATTTGCAACCGGTAACTCACAGTTCTGAGCTTAGTTTAAGGAGTCACATTACTTGAATGCTGTCAACCCAAATTTAAGCTACTGTACTCAGAATCCGTAAAGAAAGTTTTCTTAAACCATTTAGTTTCGCCAAGGCCATAGTGATGAAGTGACTTTCAGACCATAAATTGCAAATAACATTCTTTGCCACCCATTTTAAACTAGGCTATAAATGAAATCAGGATAATTGAGAATTCGTGCTTTCGAATAGACTTGTATATACTACTATGTAATTCCTTAGTCTGAGTTACATACAAAGGTTGTTGATTTGTTCTTGACAGTTATTTACCTCCGGTGACTCAACTGCCGCTACTCCTGTACCCATTAGCTGTCTGGTCACCTTGGCCATTTCGCTAATGTCCATGGGCTGGGCTGCATTGACTAGTCGTAACTGGTGGGCAATGGCATTCGGGACACTCTTAGTGAACTGTGTGGTCAGCAACTGTTGTTGGGCATCCTCATCCAACGTGGGAAGCGCTCGTCGAAGTAGTTTGGACAACTTCACAGACAACACCAGCGGATCTTCATCTGTTACCAGCTTTGCGCTGCGGAACTGCTGCATCGCCTGCTCCCTGTCCGCCGAGCTGCCGAACTCCGCCAAGTCTCCTTCCCATCACCACATTCCACTCCGTCATATGCTGCTTTCGCTCTGCCCCGCAGCAACGTTCCCAGCACCACAACCTTCGCCTCCGGATACCGAACCCCTACCAGCTCCGCTAAAGCCTCGAAATCCTTGAGGAAGACCTTGATGTCTCCATCCTCTATGAAGTTGACCAGACTACTTCGACGAGCGCTTCCCACGTTGGATGAAGATGCCCAACAACAGTTGCTGACCACACAGTTCACTAAGAGTGTCCCGAATGCCATTGCCCACCAGTTACGACTAGTCAATGCAGCCCAGCCCATGGACATTAGCGAAATGGCCAAGGTGACCAGACAGCTAATGGGTACAGGAGTAGCGGCAGTGGAGTCACCAGAGGTAAATAACTGGCAAGAACAAATCAACAACCTTCAGAAAGAGATAGCAGCACTGCGAATGAGCGTCAACAAACAGAGTAAATGCTTCGCATGCGGGAAACCGGGACACTGGCGAAGGAATTGTCCGGAGAGGCGGAAAAGAAAACGTTTTGAACGATATAATATGAGTTCTGTTTTTCCGACTAGACTAGATATCGTAGGAGCCATAGATCGAGGCGCGGTGTATGCTAGATTGCGAATAAATGGTCGGGATATCGTGTGTCTCATAGATACAGGGGCGGCAGTCTCTCTAATAGATAAGAGGCAGTCTCACAACACAAGACCATGTGCGCTAACGGTCCATACGGTTGGGGACATGCACTGGATATTGCGGGCTTGTCAGATTGCGTTGTTGAGATCGGGAGCCAGAAAATTAGATTCCCATTTATTGTGACCGCGCGCCTACAACGCCCAATCCTAGGTGCCGATTTTCTGAGAGAAGTGGGTGCAGTGATTAACACGAGAACAGGAATAGTGGCAACGAAGTACGGGTCGTTCAACACTCAGGAAAACAGCGAGGTAGCAGAGATTGAAGTACCAAAAGCACCGTACCCAGAAACGCCAAACATCATGAAGGTGGTTAAGAAATACGACAGATTGTTCACAGGAGATGGAGACCCCTATGGTTATTGTGACAAGGTTCAGCATGAAATCCCAGTGACCAGTCAGGTAACGACAACATTCATCACACGGCGAATACCATGTCACTTGGAACAAGAAGTTGGGCGCCAGGTTCAGGAAATGCTAGATGAAGGTATTATTGAAGAGGCTGACAGTCCATACAGTTCTCCAGTACTTTTAGTAAGAAAGTCAAATGGGAAATATAGATTCTGCGTGGACTTCCGGGAGTTAAATAGCATAACGCAGCTGAAGCCATGTGCCATGCCGACGATAGCGGAGACACTGGATCGTTTGCAGAATGCGAAAGTATTTACAGTTCTGGACCTCCGCTCGGGCTACTGGCAGCTACCAATAAAAGACAGTGATAAAGAGAAAACAGCATTTATTGTGGGCAAGAAGCAATACCAATTCAAGCGAATGCCATTTGGTCTGGCAGGGGCGCCCTTTACATTTAGACGATTGATGAGTGTTGCTGAAGAATTTAGAGAACGTAGAGGTGTACGGCGATGACCTGGTGGTGTACAGCCAGACGGAGGCAGAACACATAGAATACCTTGAAGCTGTTTTGAGACGTATCGATGAGTTTGGACTCCGCATCAATAAGACAAAATCTCAAGTAGCCAAGAGGAGTGTTACGTTGCTGGACACAAAGTTGGAAACGGCGAAATAAAACCACTACCCGAGAAAATTCTGACAGTCAGAACTATTCCAGTGCCGAATTCCAAGAGGAAACTGCGACAATTCTTGGGTAGAGCAGCATTCTACAGTCGGTTCCTCAAAAATTTCAATGAGATAGCAGCACCGTTATATAAGCTACTGGGCAACCCCAAATTTGTGTGGACGGAGGAGGCACAAAAAACATTTGATCACATCAAAGAACTCCTAAATGACCAGGAGATGACGTTAAAACTACCAATACCTGGTAGGCCATTTATCGTGTCCACCGATGCAAGTGATTATGGAATAGGGGCAGTCCTGAGACAGACTGAAGGAGTAGTGGAGTATGCCAGCCGCGTTCTAACACCCGCAGAACAGAAATATTCTACAATGGAAAAGGAATGTCTAGCGATAGTTTGGGCGCTGGAGAAGTGGAGATCGTACCTCCTCGGTCAACGATTCCATATTGAAACGGATCATAAACCTCTACAGTGGCTTAAGACAGCGAGAGACCCCAGAGGAAAATTATCACGTTGGGTGTTACGACTGCAAGAATATGACTTCACCATCGGCCATGTGGCAGGGAAAGAAAACTGGTTGGCAGACTTCTTATCAAGATCTGACGAAGAAAATGAGCTACCTGAGATCGCATACGGCGTACATGCAGTGGAATGGAACCCGTTAAGACTTATTCGCCTTCAGAAGTCGGACCCGACACTGAAAGAAGTGATCAAAGCCATAACTGAAGGGACAGAGACACAAACGTCTGTGGGAGATAAAGAGTTGAGAACGTTGTTGACGCAGAAAGAACGCCTACGGATGAATACTTATGGAATGCTAACGTGGCGAGAAAATGACGGAAGCTGGTTGGCAGTGATTCCGAAATGTCTACGCGACAAAATGATACAAGAATGCCACCAGTTAGCTCATACAGGTGTCTCACGGACAGCTGACCTTCTCAGACAAAGTGCATACTGGCCAGGTATGAGAGAGGATGTTGCCAAATACGTGCTGGGGTGTCCTCATTGTCAACTGATGAAAGGTGATCGGTATGTACGGCCGCCACTGCAGTCGATTCCAGTAGCAGCGGTTGGTGACCTGTGGTCGGTGGACGTAATGGGACCATTTCCGCAGACGTCTAGTGGCAACCAATACCTGTTGGTGATGACGGAGCATGCTACACGATGGGTAGACGCTGTCGCGATTCCTGATCAACGCGCGAAGACAGTGACCGCAGCGGTGATGCGGCATATTATCGCGGATCACGGTGTGCCGAAGATGATACTGACCGACCAAGGTCCTTGTTTTGAGAGTGAAGAATTTAAATCCTGTTTGGAGCAGCTTGATATCAAGAGGATAAGAACGACGCCGTACCACCCACAGACTAACGGTTTGACAGAACGGAATAACCGTACACTGAAGGAGTGGCTAGCTTCGAAAGGAGGAAATTGGGAGACGGAACTGCCGTTAGTATTATTAGCTCATCGTGCCTCGGTACAAGGAACAACCAAGAAGTCGGCGTTCCAGTTAATGTATGGCAGGAAACCACGGCTCCCGATACATAGTAAGACCTGGCCCCAACAACAGCCT